AAACAGTAACAACAAGTCTGACAATGGAGACGTTACTGGTGCTCACTTGAACAAATCGATGAACAATAGGAGGACAGTGCTACTTTTTTGTAATTGAACACTTCCTACATAAGGGGGGCTATACATACATTATAATACTATAATTACCTATTGTCCCGACAAGAGCACCATTTATTAGCAAGCATGAGTGTGTTCAGCCAGCATGTGGAATGGTCAGGGTAGGCAATTTTAAAACCCAGTGTTGTCCCGGCATCAAACTTCTGGACCGGACTGTCTGTAGAACCTCATTAAGCAATAAAGTCAAAGGTCTAAATCTGAGGCCTTTGCAACTGGGAGGTTGGGCTGGGACCAAATGTCTCTTCTGTTCCCGCGACGAGCTGTGTGATCTCAGCAGGCTCTCCTTTCCTCTCTGCATCAGAGTCCCAGATTCATAAACCACCTCATCAGGGGTCGGAACCATAGTACAGCGGGAAGGGTGTTTGTCTTGCCTGCTGCAGCCTCAGGTTAGATTCCTGGTATCCTGTATGGTACCTTGAGTCCCCCAAGACTGATCCCTAAGTACAAAGCCCAGAGTTAAGTCCTGAGAACTGCTGGACGCAGCCCCCAAGCAAAAACAAAAGAACACAAAACAAAACAAAAACAACATCAACCAACTCATCTACACATATGTCCTAGCAGTTTTGGAGAATTTTGCAGAGTGATCCATCTAGACCATTGGGCTTCAGTGTGCCTTTAGAACCATTAGAGTGGCTAGAGGTGGCTGCTAGAATTAGGGTGAAGACTGTACCTGCCCCCAGTGTGATTTCTACATGTCGCTGCCACAGCCTGAATACCTCTTCTTGCTTCATTCAATATGTGATTTCAATACAATGATCTTTCTCATTGCTCGCGCAAGCCTGTGTTCTCCCTTGAATGTGGACCTTAGATTCTTTGCTTTTTCTTCACCCTGGAGAAGCCCGTTTTGTCTCTCGAATATGCATTCTTTTCTTTCTGCCCCTCTTACAGCTTTTTTTTTGGAGGGGTGGGGGAGTGTGCAGTGCTTGGGGCTTACTCCTGGCTTAGTGCTCAGGGATTACTCCTGGATCAGTGCTCAGAGATCGCTCCTGGCAGGACTTGGGAGACCATATAGGATGCCAGGAATCAGACCTGGGTTGGCCACATACAAGTCTTACTTTCTGTATAGGTGTACCTGTGTAGGGTGACAAATTTCTTTAGGTTAACCTCCCAGAAGTGGAGTTCTTAGGAGGAAGGTATGAGCAACTGTTTTTATTCTGGGAGTGGTGGTGGTGGTGGTTTGGACCACATCCAGTGGTGCTCAGGCCTTACTCCTGGCTCTGTGCTCAGGGTCACTGCTGATTGGCTTGGGGGACACTGAGCAGTGCTCAGGGCTTCCTCCTGGCATTCTGTGCTCAGGGACCACTTCTGGAAAGCTCGGGGGATTAAACCCAGGTTGGCCACATGCGAGGCAAGTGCCCTTCCCACTGTACTATTGCTCGGGCCCCAAGTATGAGCAACTCTAAGTCTTTGAATCCACACTATTAAATTACTGTCCAGGAAGCAACTGCCAAATGATGTTCCACCACTTCCTGGCTCCTTGTGCACCCTCTTTGCCAACACTGTTTCTGAAGGTTAATTATTTCTATGCAAGAAGCACACTGAACAGTTCACAAATAAGGAGTAACTGTTTGAGCAACTGGTACAACCCCAGTCAGTTCCTTTTTTCTTTTGGTCACACCAGGTGGTGCTTAGGGCTTCCTCTTGGCTCTGCATCCAGGGGTCACTCCTGGTGGGGCTCAGGGGATCATGTGGGGTGCTGGGGATCAAACCTGGGCCAGCCATGTGCAAGGCTAAACACCCTACCCACTGTACTATCGCTTCAGCCTTTCTTCTCCTTCATCATTGGTTAAATATTATCCAAGGTGTCTGAAGCTGAGGGCTTTAGAGAAAGTGTAGACATGGTTCGCTAACACTGATCAATCCTTGCATAGTGTATGACAGGAGCTGGGCAAAGCACGGTGCGTGAAACTGCTTACTTAATTTTCTCACCATCCTTTAGTGGGTAGTACTACTGTTATGATCTGGGTTTCACAAAAGTGGGAGAAGCAGGTGTTTGCAGCTGCTCCCTGAACTTCTAAGAGGAGGACTTGAAATTTGAACCCAGGCCCTTTCCCCAACTATTCTGCTCCTGTTTGGTACTTTTGAAAGGGTAAAGCTCTTCTTCCGTTTCTCTCATGGTTTAAGCTTGGGATTATTTGCCTGTGGATCACCTTCTGAATGCTCCACAGAGTGATCTAGAGTTCCTGGGGAGGCAGGACTCGTCACTGCAATGTTGCAACAATGACATAAGGAAATCAGAATGTTGAATGAGTCACATTCGTTCATTTGCTTGCAGGCCTGAGAGTCCCAAAGAAGGAAGGACCAACTCTCCTGAGCAGAAGTAAAAGGTCTGGGGAACTAGTTTGCAAGGTGGGGAAGAGGGAAGGAAATGGAGCACATAAACATTTCAGTGTCATTTCTTAGATGAGCGCTCTCTCTATCTCTCTCTCTCTCTCTCTCTCTCTGATTTGCCATATGCATAGGACTCAGGGCTTACTCCTGGCTCTTTACTTAAGGATCATTCCTGGCAGGCTCTGGGGTGCGGGGGTTTGAACCTGGGTCAACTGTGTGCAAGGCAAGCATCCCGTTGTACTGTCTCTCAGACCTGGAGGTTTCTCTCTTACTCCCAGAGGTGCTTGAGGGCAGGGATTGCGGCTTGATTGCTGTCCTGTTCCCAACTGCTTGAACGTTGCTAGTAAATATTGCTGCTTGTTTAGCAAAAGTATTAAATGATGATTAGGCTGCATGTTAAAGAGATGTGAGATGATAAATAAGTTCATTATTGGGGGTCCAGAGAGATAGTACAGAGGAGGAGGTGAGGGAGCAGGAGTACATTTGAAAATCTAACTTTCCATCCTCTGGACATGGCAGGATCAGGCCTTAGAGAGGGGGTGGTGTCTTATGGGAGAAGTCCAAGGTGGAAAGTGTGTGTGTGTGTAGATTACCAACATTTCATAATTTTTGCAGCAATTGTTAATTATACAAGATACTGTCTTCTTGTAAAGAAACCTAGAACAATAGGTGAAGATGGTAAAATTCTGGATCTTTTGGAGTGTCCTGATAAAAGACTCCTGCTACCTGTTTGATGTACTTCCTGCTCACCTTTCTCCATGGATCTGCCTTCAGTGAAGTAGCAGGTGCTTCAGGGAAAGTCCTGGGGGAAAGAGTGCCCAGATTTGCTTCCCTTCCAGGCAGCCTCTGGTGGGGAGAGTGGCAAGCAGTGAAGCCAGGAAATTTCGAAGCACCTTTCATATTGCATAGATAGGCAGTAATGATGACTGTGTATATGCCCCTACCTCTTGTTATTATTATTATTCTTTGAGGGTAGGGCGTTTGCCTTGCACACAGCCGACCTGGCTGACCCAGGTTCGATTCCTCCACCCCTCTCGGAGAGCTTGGCAAACTACCTAGAGTACCTCGCCCCCATGACAAAGCCCAGCAAGCTACCCGTGACATATTCACATATTCGATATGCCAAACACAGTAACAAGTGTCACAACGGAGAAGGTACTGGGCCCGCTGGAGCAAATCGATGAACAATGGGAGGACAGTGACAGTGACAATATGATTACTTACAATAGTCATGGTGTTAGGATTCCATAGATACCGGACAGAGGGAGCTGAGAAAGTGGTTTGTTTACTCCTTTAAATAACATGATTTTTAACAAAAACCCATTTTTTTCCCTCCACTTTTTACCTTAGCGGGAACCCTAAAGGGGCACGCCCGTGTGCGCGGGGGCCTCGGCTCAAGGGCGGCTCAGATCTTTGATTGGATGAGCCTTTGCACCTGACTGCCCTGGCTTTCGGGGTCACAGGTGCTTTCCTGGGCGGATTTGGGGTGGTGGCGGAGATCCCCCCGCCTCCCATGAGCCCCTACGGCGGGGGGGCGGGGCGCAGACCTCTGCGCCGAGGCTCGGCTGAGCCAAAGCGCTCCGTACGCCGAGGGTCGCGGAGGCGGGGGTGGGGCCAAACCCGTGGAGCGGGGCCGGCCACGCCCACACCCGGCCCCGCAGGAGGCCCCGCCCATCACCCTCCGCCCAGCCCTGCGGGCGCCGGCCCCGCCCTTAGGCCCCACCCCTCTCATCAGGCCCCGCCCCGCCGGAGGCGTCGCCCACTGCCCTCCGCCGCGGTCAGACGGGCGCCGGCACCGCCCTCAAGCCCCGCCTCTCGCACCAGGCCCCGCCCCGTCTCAGGCCCCGCCCCGCGGTAGGTCCCGCCCACCACCCTCTGCCCTGACGAGGCGCACCCTCAAGCCCGGCCTCTCGCACCAGGCCCCGCCCCACCTCGGGCCCCGCCCACCTCCGTGTGCCTTGGACCCGCGCGAGCCGGCCCCGCCTCCCTCGGCAAGCCCCGCCCACCACCCTTTCCCTCGGCCCCGCACCCCCGCAGGCCCGCCCCCGCAGGCCCCGCCCCTCGCCGCAGGCCCCGCCCACGCCTCCCCGGCCGGCGGGCGCCGGCACCGCCCCTCGCTCCCGGCATGCCGTGCGGCAGCGGCGGCGCGGCGGGCGGAGCCGGGAGGCGGGGAAGCCGTGGCTGTGTGAGCGTGAGGAGCCGCCGCCACCGCCTCCTCGTCGCCGTCGTCGTCGTCCTCCTCCGCCGCCTCCTCCTCCTCCTCCGGGGCGCCGGCGTCGTCGCGGGCCGCGCACGGCCCTGGGAGAGACGTCGCCTCCCCTTCCTCGCCGTCGCCGCCGTCGTCCCCCCCCTCTCCGCGCCGCTCCCGCCTCCTCGTCGTGCGCCGCGGGCTCGGCGGAACCCGGAACGGCCGGCGGCCTCCCGCGGCCTCGGCCTCCTCCTCCTCGCCCTCGCCCTCGCCCTCGCCCTCGCGCGCCTCGTCCCCGCCGGCGCCCGCCTCGCCCCCCGCGGCCCCGGCGTCCTCCTCAGCCCCGCGCCCGCGCCGAGCGGCGGCGGCGGCGGCGGCGGCGGCGGCCGGGCCGGGCGGCGACTCGCGCTTCTTCGGGCGGCGGCGCTTGGCCATGTCGTGTCGGGGAAGGGAATGAGCCGCAGAGCCCCGGGGTCTCGGCTGAGCAGCGGCGGCGGCGGCACCAAGTACCCGCGGAGCTGGAATGACTGGCAAGCCAGGTGGGTGCGAGGCCCAGGCCGCGGGGAGGCCGGGGAGGCGCGGCCTAGGCCTGGCGCGGGCGCCCGCCGGGCGCGGCTCCGGGCCCCTCCCGGACGGGCCCTGCGGGGCCGGCCGGGGGCGCCTGGCCGCGGGGGCGGGGTCGTGAGCCGCGCGTCCCCCCGCCCGCGCCGCCCGCGCCCCCAGGCCCCGCGCCGGGAGCTCGTGGGAGCAGCCCCCAGCACGTGTTGTGGTTAGAGCCCCCGAGCACCCCCCGTGGGAGATTTGGAAAGAAGGCAGAACGCCCCCCCCCCCCCCGAGGCCTGCGCCCGGCCGGCTGTGATGGGGTGCCCCGACCTCCCTCCCTCCCCGCTGGCCCGGGGAGGAGGAACTTTTTCTCCCCCTCTCTCGCCCGGCGCGCCTGGGATGGGACCTGGACCCCCGCAGTGGGGCCTGCTCAGGAGGCGACTGGGAACGAATGTCAGTGGAAGCGAATGCGATTTAAGCTAGCAAGTACGGAAAAAGGTTAAAGCAATTTTTCCCCTCCCCTTTACTCCCCCCCTTTAAATGGATCCTAGCTTGTGTATCCTGACTTCTCGCTGATCATAAGTGCTGGTGCTGGAGACTTGGTGCAGGCGGACCTCAGTGCTCAGGGAGGCCCCCGCGTAAAGGTCTAGCCCCACCTGGGGGTCGACCTAAAAAGGGTCGTGGGTGCGTTGCAACTTTCATTCCTGGAAACTTGCTGCTGGAATTGTCGTGGCCCTTGTTTTGGCCAAATGAATGGGAGGCGACTGATTATTGCAATCACTCCTGCTCTCTGATGGTTACATGTGATGCAGGGAAGTAATTCCGTGAGACGTTAGAATGTAACCTTTTCAGACTTGATAGGAGAATCGAAGTAATCTTTGGATGAGTGGGTCATACATTTTTCTTTTCTTTTTTTTCCTTAAGAGTTGAGAAGTAGAAGAGTTGTTAAGAGTTGAGAAGTAAGGTGTTTTAACTTGGTGGATTTAAAAGTGAATGCCTGAGTCAGTAATTGGGATGTTAAGCGGTTAAAACAACTATTTAAAAAGTGTGCCTTGCTTTATTTTTTCTTTCTCTTAGGGTTTGAGTACTTTAAATTGGCTGACTAGATGAAATAGTTTTTTTAGTACTTGATACTCAGTTGCTTTCTATTTCCATGGAAATGCTAAAATTTGATTTGGCCACTACCAGTGGATGAGCTTGAATTTGGCATTGAGAGCTGGCCTTTGACAATGGGTAAACTGCCATTTTTCACTATCATGGCCAGTGTGTTATAGAGAATTAAGTCTTCCTTGAGAGGACTGAAAAGTATTTTCCGACATCCCTGGTTTTTGTAGCCCTATCCTGAATAAAAGGACGAGCAGAGTTGCAGCCTCCCCCCCCATTCCCCCTCTCACCCTATATGCTCCATAGTCTGTGTGTGGGGGTTCGCGGGCTTCTGTAGTTTGGGATAGGTACCCGGATAGTCATGCTCTCTGAGCTTCTTTCAGGTGCTTCATTTCTTCAAGTGTGGGTGTGTGTGTGTGTGTAGATTTAGGATATGAGCTTTCTTTGAAGCAGTATTCGAACAAAAATCTGAGAATAAGATACTGTTGAGTTCTGTGTGAAGTTACACAGGACACCACAGTTGGCTTGGAGGTTGGAAGGAGTGGCTTTCTGGTAGAGGGGGGGACAGGGAGATAGATGGTTACTTGTCCCTCTTCACTCTACTTCCAGATTTTTCAGCCTCCTGTTTTTTTCTTCATTGTCTCCTTGGTGGTTATTGAATGAATTTTTATCTTCTTGGGTTTGGGGTCCACACCTGGTGGTTCTTGGGGATCGCTTTCAGAGGTGCTGGGGATAGAGTATGGAATCAGGGTCAGCTGCATCATGAAAGATCAGTGCCTTAACTGACCTTTGTACAGTCTCTCTACTCCTTTCCATTTAAATGAGGTTTTATCTTCAGATAAATGTAGGCACATTCTTTATGGTTTATTGACACATTTTGGTCATTTTTTTTTTGGGGGGGGGGCATGCAGAAAACCACATCCAGTAGTGCTTAGGGCTTTCTCCTGACTCTGTGTCCTGGGATAATTCCAGGTGGGGCTCAGGGGACAACATGGAGTGCCTGGATTGAACCTGAGTCAGCCACATGTAAGAAAGTGCCCTGCCCTCTTTTAGTGTGTTGCTCTGGCCCAGCATTTTGTTCTTTAAGGTACTCTTTGCGGGTGATAGTACAGTGGGTAGAGCATTTGCCTTGCATGTGGCCGACCTGGGTTCAATCCCCAGCATTCCATTTGTCCCCTGAGCACTGTCAGGAGTAACTCTCCTGAGTGCAGAGCCAGGAGTAACCCCTGAGCATCGCAGGGTGTGACCCAAAAAGACCAAAACAACTCTTTGCCTTTATTTACTTTTTCTTATATGATTTTTTCCCTTTTTCTAATTCCTGAATGGTTCTTGGGGGACCATATGGGATACAGGGGATTGAACCTGGGTTGACTGCGGGCAAGGCAACTATAACGCTCTGGCCGCTGACTTTTTTTTTTTGACCCTGGTTTTCCTAGATTTATGCTTTTGGAATACTGGGATTTAGAAAATAATTCTTATGGATTTAATTGTTACTTTACCCCCTGATCTGAAAACCCACTGTCGAGTCAATCATAGTCACACACAATATACTTCACACATAGTGACAGGAAGTGCTCTGTTCCAGATGGCTGAGTAGACTAGTGTCATATGGCATTAAAGCAAATCTACCTTTGCCAGACACACACATATCGTGGTAACAGTTATGTGTCACTGGTTTGTAGTCTTAGAGCACACTCTGCTCTCAGTTCATGTTAAGAGTGATTGGACAAATGCTGCTTGTCAAAGTCTGTCCCTTAACTATATTGTAGAAAGAAAGTAATCTTTTACTAATCAAGATAAAAACCGTAATGTGTGTTACTCTTTTTTGTTTTGCGGCCACAACCCTGCTGTGCTCAGGGCTGACTCCTGGCTCTGTGCTCAGGGATCACTCCTGGTGGACTTGGGACCATGTGGGGTGCTGGTGATCAAACCCTGGTTGGCTGTTTGCAAGACAAGCTCCTTATCACTATACTATTACTATGGCCCCATAATGATTTCTTTTAAAATAATGAGGGGGCCTCCAAGCACTGCCAGAAGTGATCCCTAGTGCATAGCCAGGTATAAGTCCTGAGCACCACTGGTTGTAACCCAAAACAAACCCAAGGGGGGGGGGGGGAAGTATGTAATCAGCAACTGGAGAGATAAGACCTTTGCTTCACGTGTAGCTGATCTCAGTTCCATCCCCAGAACTGCACATAGCTTCCTGAGCAGAGGCAGGAATAGCCCCTGTGCACAGAGCCAGAAGTGAGTCCTGAGTGTGTTTAGGTGTGGCCAAACCCCTCCATCCCCAAATAAGATTTTAAAATCACGAGTAATGAATAAGTTGTTACAGTACATTTTAGTACTCCATGGCTAAAACATTGGAGTAAATACACTTTTACCTGTCAAAGGATACATTCACCGCAGCAGAGAACAAAATTATTTAAGTCTATGTTTGGATGTATTAGAACTTTAACAGATTTATATGTTCGGTTTCTTATTGTGCCCAAACTCCGATTCTTTGTATGGTTCTAAAAAGACAGACCTGCATGTCAGAAGTAGCTCCAAGGTCTTGGTAAATGTCAGCAGGGGAGGGCTGGAGAGTTGGTACAGGAGGTGAGGGCTTTTGTCTCTGACATTGCTGATGGTTCTCTGAGCATTGCTGGCTATGGCTCAAACCTGCCTCAGCGGTAGACAGGGAAGAGTTCTCAAAAGCACAGAACAACTTTATATCCTCATTGTCACCAGCCAAAGACTGGCATGAATTCTGTAGAGAGCCAGAAACCAGTGCGTCTGATACTAAGACTGTGGGTGTCATAGTGGCCTTTGCTGAGTCCTGTCTGATGTCCCTAGGAATATAGTGAAATATCTAAAGAAAAAAGTCAGTGGACACAGATAAATAGATCGTTGTTGTTAGGGCTTACTCCTGCTCCACAGTAGGCACACCACGTGTGCTTGACACACCACGTGTGCTGTGGGGGTTGAGCCCACATTGGCCACATGGAAGGCAAGTACCTTAACCTATAGAGCGCTTTAATCAAGTAAAATTTTGTGATCACTAATTCTGTGCCTCACAGATTTCCAAGAATACCCAGGAGTTCTTTTAGGATAATTGTGTTTGGATGGTCACATTTTTTATTTGTTTTTGATCACATCCTGGCCTCAGAAGCCTTCGAACCTGAGCTTTGTGTTGGGAGACCGGCTAGTGCTGGAGATTGAACCTCAGACTCCTATGTGTGAAGCATGACTCTTCAGCTGTACTTTGAACCATCTCCCTGACTTGGGTTCTTAATGATCCGGGGACGCTTATTTTCTCCGTTATAAAACAAAGCATTCCTATTTAGCAGTTTATCTTCACTTTGTTTTGGGGCACACCTGGCTGTGCTTAGGGTCGCTTTTGGGGATTCTTGGGGGACCACCCTGTGCCTGGCTTCCAACATGCAAAGCATGCCAGCTTTTGGTGCCATTGCCTTGACTCCAGTCACAGGCTATTTTGAAATACATTAACAAAATGAAAATGATTTAGGGGGATATTTATGCCATAGGGATTTTTATGGCTAACAGAACCACCGTCTGTTATTTAAAAAGAACTTTGGAAAATGCAAACATTATTTAAGGTATTTTAAAATCTTGGTGTAATTGTTTTCGGTGGTTTTTGGGGGGGTGGGGGCAAGAGGTTCTTAAGAGGTCCAGAACCCCACCAGTGGTTCTTGAGCGACCAGCCTGTCGGCCAGTTCAGCTCAAGGCCCAGAGAATGCTTGCTGCTGTTCTGAGGCCCTCAGGGTTGCACCTGGCAGGGAACCGTGTGCTCAGGGGACCAAGTGGTGCTGGGGATGGAACCTGGGTCAGGCCCTTGCACGCCCACTGTATTGCCTCCTAGCTCCTTGGTGTGATTGTTTTTATATGTGATTCA